CAGGCTTCAAACAAAGGGCTCCCCAACATCTCCCGAGCCAGCGCTGGCCGGTGGCTGGCTTGTCGCCGCCTCTCATTCTCCCCCCCCCCCACTGACCCTCCCCCTCTACTCAATCCCTCCCTTTTTGGGGCTGGGACTGGGACTTGAGCTCTGGGCCTCCCACCCCACCCCGCTCCGGTCCAGGCTGGCATCCTACCAGCGTTGGTCTTGGCCGCGTAAATGGGAGATGGGGGTCTTTGGGTGGGCTGGCTTCCAGCCCCATCCCAAGCCGTTAGTATTACAGGCGTGAGTCCGCTTCTGAGTGCGGACAGACTCCCACATGCTTGGGTTTCGGTGACATAGGTGCCTGGTGCTAACAGCGAAGCAGTCACACCTATTAAGAATCACATTGTGTTCCCGGGCAGGACTTGTCAAACTTGAGCACCCATTGCAACCGCCTTCAGGGCTAGTTATTAACACACAGCAGCTGCCCCACACCTAATTCAAGAGGTCAGGTTGGGAGCAGAGGCCCATTTCTAGCAAGTTCCCAGGTGATGCTAACGTTTGTGGGGAGAAAACAATTCCGAGAATCTGAAGCACATTTCCCTGATAAGGCATAACATCTTAGTCCCGCGATTTTATTGTGTGAGGGGTTGTTTCTAGGATACCCTGTGGTTGTCAAAATCCCCCTTGAGCTCAATTTCCTTGTATAGAATGGCACATATCCTTCTGTGTATATATGTATGTGTGGATATATATATGTGTGTGTGTATGTGTATATATATAATTTTTATTTTGTACTGGTTCTTGGGCTTGAACTCAGGGCCTGAGTGCTCTTAGCTTGTTTGCTCTGTATGAGCTCAGTAGAGATGCAACTCTCCTAGACCTAACTGCACAGAGCCTGGGCTAGCGCCATGTTTATTGCATTTATACGGATTCACTGTGTCTGGGTGAATGGTTGGCAAATTCTAGTGTCGCTTTTTAGAATTGTTTCTTCTGAACATTTCCAGTCGATGCCTATTGAATCTGCAGGTGACGGATGCAATATGTGTGGAAACGGAAGGCTGGCAGTTACTTGTGCCACAGACAGAGCAGGGATTGAAGAAGGGCAGGGAGAACCTCTGGGGCTTTTCTCCCCGATGCCGGAACACCTGCCTTGAGTAGCCAGGCCGATCAGAGAGATCTGGGAAGCTGCCACTGATGGGAGCCGCTGAATCCCGTGCACACAGTGGGGGTGGAGGGGATGATGGGAACTTCTGTTCCCCCCTCTCCCTCACATGCATTGTTCCCACTGCGCACCGGGGATGCAGCAGCGGACTCCTGAG